ATTGTTGTTTGGCGGGTCCGGGCTGGGGATTCGAACCCGCCACCTTAGGTGTACGTGGCTGGCGCCTTAGCCGGTTGAGCTATAGGCGCCGAGCCCATTTTAAATTTTCTTAAAAAATCTTTCTGGCCAGGTGCAACAGCTCATGTCTATAATCCTTGCACTCTGGGAGGCACAGATGGGTGAATACTTGAGCTCAGAGACCAGCCTGAGCAAGAGGGAGACTCCTTCTCTACTGAAAAGAAAAAAAAAATAAGAAAACTAGATGTGTTGTGGCACGGGCATCTGTAATCCCAGCTACTTAGAAGGCTGAGTGCAAGAGGATTGCTTGAGCTCAAGAGTTTCAGGTTGCTGTGAGGTGCAATGCCACAGCACTCTTACCATGGGCAACAGAGACTCTGTTTCAACAAATTAACAATTAAAAAATGTTTCTTAAATGAATTTTCTACCCCAGAAAGAAATCAAAATAATAGGCTTCTACTCAAATATAGTAGCTTAAAATGGATATGCTTGACACCACAGCAAAATTAAATAAACTCCCAACCAGTAGAAAAATCACGAAGAAAAAAGTCTGGATAAATGAATATCACTAATGTACAGTGACATGAACTTCATTCAGTGACGTGAACATGGAATTTGTGAGACACCATTCTTACATAGATGTATTTTCATTCTAACTAGAAAGTCATTTATTAATGTAAGTTGTAAATTATATGTAGGTTTATTATGTGTCTTAGACACCCAACTACACACAAATGCTCAGTTTACTCATACCAATGAATAACTTTGAGATAGTAATTATAGTGAAATGATATATGAGATAAAATTAGTGCCCAAAAGATTTCCAGGCTCGGCACCCGTAGCTTAGTGGTTAGGGTATCAGTCACATGCACCAGGGCTGGTGGGTCAAACCCAGCCCAGGCCTGCTAAACAACAATGACAAAAACAACAACAACAACAAAACAGCTGGGCATGGTGGTGGGCGTCTGTAGTCCCAGCTACATGGGTGACTGAGGCAAGAGAATGGCTTAAGCCTGTGGTTCTCAACCTGTGGGTCGTGACCCCTTTGGGGGTCGAATATATCGCCTAAATACATCCTGCATATCAGATATTTACATTACGATTCATAACAGTAGCAAAATTACAGTTATGAAGTAGCAATGAAAATAATTTTATGGTTGGGAGTCACCACAACATGAGGAACTATATTAAAGGGTAGCGGCATTAGGAAGGTTGAGAAACACTGGCTTAAGCCCAAGAGTTTGAGGTTGCTGTGAGCTGTGATGACATGGCACTGTACAGAGGGTGACACAGTGAGTCACAGAAAAAAAAAAAATTAGTTTCCACATCTGAATCTCAGTTGTCTAGCTACCCAAATCACTATAATATTCAGAAAGATAAGAAAGAAGGTATTTCATGTCACAAATCTGAGAGGTCTTCTCTAACCTTGCTAACTACTTAGGTCTTCCTATCACACACTTTTCAGCACCAGGTCTATTTCCTTCATGGCACTTAGGATGATGTGTATTTATGTATTTGTTATTTGCCCAGCCCCCTTCTTCATCACCAGACTAGACACTCCTTCAGAGTAGGCATCTGGACCATCTCATTTTCCATTGCAACCCTGTGTCTAAGAGGTACCCAGCAACAGCAGGTACTCAAGAAACATGTGTTGAGTGAATGATGAAATGACTGAATGATTCTGCTTTGGGATAAATTGCACTGGTTCTACAGCTTCCTAATGTAAACATGACATTTAAAAAACAAAAGCTAGTTCTTGTAATTGTCAAGTAAAATTCTAGAATTTTGAGAAAATATTTTCAAATCTATCACCAGATATTTCTTGAGTATCTACCATTTACACAGCTTTGTGGAGAAATATAAAACATGATCTTCCACATTAAAAAAACTTACCACTCAATTAAGAAGCTTTCTCCCTTAAATAATTCCAAAGCAAACAAATGATAAGGCAGAAAAGGTCTACTTTCCTTTTAAGATGTGCCCACTTGCACAATGCCATTTCCTTCTCCCATCTTAGTTGAATCATATAACAGGAAATCATTGGAATTATCAGGTGACATTAAACTACTGATTCACAGTCTCTTATCCAAATCCTTGGGGTCAGTTGAGTTGTGACATTCGATTTTTTTTTTTCTTTTTCAGACAGAGTCTCTGTCACTCAGGCTACAGTTACTACAGCATCAGCATGGCTAACAGTAACCTCAAACTTCTGGGCTCAAGCAATCCTCCTGCTCAGCCTCCTGAGTAGCAGGGACTATAGGCACTCACCACAATGCCCAGCTAATTTTTCTATTTTTAGTAGAGAT